AATCCCTTTATGGCCCGGCTTATCACAGGGTCACCATGAAGGTGCTGAAGGGGCCCACCGAGACCATCCACACCCCTGTCCAAAATTAGCCCTGGTCATTTCCTGTGCCCTCTAATCCCTGGGATTTAAAGCCACGCAACGCCGAGCTATACAAACAGGAAGAAAAACCACGAGACCCTCCGGCGTGTTCGCATACCTCTCATATCCAGGGCTTCATCTGTCAGTCGCAGTCCTGCCGTGACATCATTGCAGCCTCTTTCTGAGAACAGGATGGTTGGTTGCAGTCGGGTTGAAATTTGATTGATGATAACCAGGTTGTTCAGGACACATGTGCTTTCGCTCTTAAGCTCACAGGCTTGGTCACTGCAGGAGTCTTAGATTCCGTACTTATCAGGGTAGCATCATTAAGGAGAGTGTTCCTTGTTGGAGGCTGGGGCACTCTGCTACTACAAGTCATGGTGGATGGATTTCATATGTCACAGCTGTGGTTTTGCAAATCTGTGGATTGCTCTGTTAATTAAAAGTCAAGCTGCTAAGAGGTTATAGGCTACATTAGCACAAATCAGAAACCATCTCTACCTAGCTGATTAGCTACAGTGGCAGCAGGAGACAATGCCAGACTGGTGCTCTGGGCTGGAGAGTATTAATGGGGCACTTAGGTGTGTCAACAAAAATTGATTGGTTAATTTTAACAAGTTTGTGATGTAAGTGTTGCTTCTGTACTTTAAATGATTGAACTGAACAAAACACAGACCTTTGCTAACACTGGGAATGACTCCTGATTAGATTTTCCACTGACTTCAAGTCTTGTCAACTAAAAACTTTTGCATCCAGATGGGAGCATCAAAATTGATGTAAATAATGTAAAAGTTTTGATCCATCCTGCCTTCTATCAATGATTCAGGCTGCTGTTGGTGTAAAAGTTTGAGGTACATTTTCTTGACACACTGTGGGTCTCCTGCTGCCAAGTGAGAATTAATTAAATGCCACAGCCTACTCGTCTATTCCCCCTTCCCCCCCATGGCCCATCCCACAGAACTTATAATAAGAGCTTACACTTACTTCACTAAAGTGCTTAAAAAGTAACACTTTCTTTTGATGAGAATCTTAAGATCTCAACATATTACATATACTAAAGAGTCATTTTCTCTTTACTGAGCAATCCATCAGGAAATGTAAATTTTTTAAGCCTTTTCTCTAGTCTTCTCCACATTTTCATTTTTAACCATAAAAGAGCATGTTACCAGTGTCTTTGACATAATTGATTTATTTTATTAATTAAAAAAAATCTTTTGCAAGAGAATCCTGGCCAAGACTGGCATAACAAAGACCAAACGGGAAGGACCGCTGGGATTTTGCTCCTGACAGTAAAGGCCGTTAATGGATGGTGTTCTTGACATGTTGGGCACATTGCTACCTAGCAATACCGCCAATAAAAGTTAAATATTACATAGTCAGTGTACTGGTTGTCTCCAGGTTCCCATGCTCAATGTTTGACAATGTAAATCAACCAGGAATTGCTTTATATCAGTCATGCGGTAGATGGTGACATTATCATTCACCATGTAGAACAGTTTCATAACTATGCCATAAATCTGACTCTGTTTATAGAACAGCTTTTGTGGCACTATGGTGGTTGCATGGATAATGGTTTCAGTTTTTGGTCAAATGCTGCGTCAAACAACCCTTTGTGTTTGTGAAATAAAATCCATAGGTCATCAAGTGACTGAGAACTATAACTATGGATCAGTGGAAGCAGCAGGAGGAAACTGTCACCTAGATGAAGTTGGCATCAAGGGAAAGAATTGGTACCACTTGAGATAGAAGAGATTTTTTAATAAATAATTGTAATTCTTGTAAATCCATACATTGTTTGTTACTGTGGCTCCTCGGTTTTGTTTTGCTCTCTCTACAGGTCTAGAGCCAGACTTTCAGGGAGCTGACCTGTGTTCTCTGTGATTCCTTCTTTCCTCTACTGCTATCTCATTTCCCTTTAAACCTTTTCCCAACCAACCACACGAGGTACAGTATATTGGAGTTTGAGGTTTTGACAGGATAAAATACAAAATTACCTATACTTTTCGCTCACACAACTTGTTGCTTCTTTCTCTCCCTTTGGCTCTGACACAATTGGGTAAGAAGACTTTTGTTCACTCTACTCCCTTATCCTGGAACTTTAAACAAGAAACTTTCAAACTGACTGAATTTCTCTTATTCAATCGCATCTGAATGTCCGGTGAACTCAAATGTGCAATATTTGTCTCATTTTCAGCTGCTACGGTTCTCTTTCACACCTCGCTGTGTCAAAATGATCCAAATTGAAAAACCTCCCTTTATCAGTGATAGTGCTGCGCTGAAGGAAACGACACAAAAATCTTTGCAGAAGAAATTGGGCACAACTTTCCATCCATCCATTTTCTTACACCCTTGTCCCTTGTGGGGTTGGGAGGGGTACCTGTGCCCATCTCCAGCGACTGTTTAGGGCGAGAGGCGGGTCGCCAGTCCATCGCAGGGCGCACAACGTTCCTTCTTCTCAAAATGTAAACAAATATGGAGTGGCATCAGATTTTAGTAGTTAATTGATTTCACTTTTGTCGTTGGTAAATAAAAAAACAAAAGACCACACAAGCCGTTTCTCCGCAAATACAACCAGCACAAACCCAGCACACACACTGGTTTATTCTGGTTGTGTTTACCCATAATTCCCTGCACTATAGTCTCCGGTTAGCTTGGTATTCACATTCAAACCACACTAAGATCAAGGTTTTTAGGCGGACTACAGCTCACTTTTTGGAGCTAAATTACGCCTTCGCTCCAAACAAACCGGACTTTCCTCGCAAACCAACTAGAGTTCGATTAAAGTGAACTAAACATGGCTGATGTAAATACAGCACTAGTGTTTTTACAACCAAACTAAAAAAAAAAGTAATGAATTCAATAACATGTACCAACGTTTTTAAAGCTTGTCATTTCCTTTTAACAGTGTAACTTTTTGTGCTGCATTTGTTCCTGCCTCTTGACCAGGACTCCCTTGAAAAAGCAAAATAAGGTTTTTAATCTCAACGGCATTCCATCCTGCTAAAATGAAGAAGAAGAAAAAAAAAAGTTCAAAGCCCTGCATACACACACTGCAGTCATGTTTGGAAATGTGAAGCACGTGCAGCGACGCGAGACGGGTGACTGCTGGTGTGAGAATGCAATCTCCTCGCCTGCACCGTGAATATCATCTTATCCAGACGCTCCAGGTCATCGCAGGTACACGCCGCAGCTCTCGCTATCGAATAACACAACATCTAGGTACTTTGTGCTCCCTTTCACGGCTGAACGCGCTTTGCCCTGCCCTTCAGGAGGAGGTGAACTCACAGCGAACCGGCACCTGGAAAAACCAGATCAACTCAAATCACTTTGCACCTGTTCAGCAGCTCTGTGGGGTTTCTTTTCTTCTTTTTTTTGTTGTGTGTGTGTTAGTCTGTTTGTTTTCTTTTTTTTTTTTGTTGCCACAAAAGAACAGGGTGTTCACATCGACATGTCATGTGACAGGACATGCTTCTTCCGGAGCTGGGGAAGAAACAAAACAAAACAAAAAAAACAAACAGAAAGTGTCTCAAGCGTCGCATTTAATGGAAAGCTGGAGCCTGATGGAGGGCCTCGTGATTCGCTGCAACTGTTTGTGTTGTCGTGACCGGGCCTGCTGGTTAACACTCAGTCGTGAGGAAACACTTACATAAACGTGTGAGTGTGGAGCAGACGAAACACCAACAAGCATGTTAGTGGAAGAAGAAAAAAAAAGCAGAAGAGACAGAAACTATAGACAAAATAGCAATTTATTAATAACTTATCTTTCCTTTACATTCAGAACAGAGGAGCATGGTGGAGAGCAAGGGGAGGCAGGCAGAGGCCACCAACATGGCAACATCCTCCTGGAACAGGGTTTTTTTTTTCCTTTCTTATTTTAAGCAAAGAGAGTTTCACTTCTCTCATCCTGACAAATTCATAACTGCATTTCAAAGAGTTTTCCCTGAAGAAGCTTTGAACACCCATCAGATTGAACCACCCGGACCACGCACACTGGGTGGGCCCTCACGCAGCTCTAGCTAACTAAAAAGAAAAATCTGGCAAATTTAATCAGGGTCTTGGATGATTCTAAGATAGACAAAGTAGAAAAAAAAATTAATTCTCTTGAGGATAAAGTGAAGCAAACCCTGTGAGAGTAAGTAAGGCAAACGACAACAGCTGTTTTGTGAGAGGGAGAGTGCAAAAGAAAATCCCCAAAAAACAAAAAAGGCCGGCTGGCTGAATTGATACATAAAGCAAATATAAAGTATATAAATATGTTACAAATGTACACATTTCTGCACAATTCTTGGAAAGTCTATTGATTTTTGGCATAATTAACGTAAGAATAATGATCAATATGCGCTTGGTTTGCTTACACAAAACTAGAATATGAAACAAATTCCTCAGTACCCACTTCCAAAGGTACATACTCTCTCTTACATTTAAGGTATGAACACAATGTACAGTATAAATGTTTGAAAAGTGTAAAAATCAGTCCAGTACATGGGGTGGCCTTCGAAAGCTCGGATGCTTCTACCCCACACAGGCCAGTCTTCACAGAAGATGAAGGGGGCAATGCGCCCACAAGTCATGGGGGACGACCCCCAAAACAAACATAGAAAAGTTTTCTGTCCAGTTTGAACAATCGTGTCTCTTTGGCACACCAGCCTAGAATCTGTGAAGCAGAATGTACAGCTCTCCAGGTCACCGTTCACTTTCCTCGGATACAAGAAAAACAGGAAATACCACAAGAGTCCAACAGAAATATGATTGTAGAAAGTCTTTAAATGAGTCTGTTGCCTTAACTGTCCGTCCTCATTCAGACAGCAGCAGGTGTGTACTGGCCAGGCTGCTCTGGCAACTCCAGTAAGCACGCTCAGCAGCTGTCGAGCCCCCTCCAATAAAAACCATCTGCATCGTCCAGAGCCAGGTCCGCACGCCAGATGATGGAGAAACGAGAAATTTTTTGCAACTTTTTCAACAAGTAGAGGAGAATTCAGGGTGGTAGCCTTACATTCCCCCCCAACCCTCAGCGACAAGGAGGCACTGATGTTTGGAACCTCACGTGGACTGCAGGGGGTCCAGCTGGAAGACGTTGTGGTTGGTGGGGGTGGTGAAGTACAGCTGCTGACTCGGCGGCGCCATGCGGTTGTCGCACGGGCTCTTCAGGCCTAGCGTGCGCTCAAAGTCCAGGAGCTGGCCCATGAAGTTGAAGTTGGGGGAGATGTTGGACTTCTTCATCTTGACAATGTCATAGGCGTCGTTCATGGACAGGTTGAGCTTCTGCATCAGGTAGGCCACGGTCACGGTCACTGAGCGGCTGATGCCGGCCAAGCAGTGGACCAGGACGCCGCACTTCTGACCCCGAGCTTCATCTGGTTACAAGGGAAAAAGAAGAGGCATTTTGGTCAATGTCTTGTGAACTACTCAAAACCAAACCAAACCACCAGTACGATATCTTGAACTGCCATTGCCATTGCTATCTCAATGTATGCAACTATTGCAATTGCGAGGAATTGTTTGGATGCAAAATTAGTTGGGTGACTAGCTAGATTTTCTTAACATCTTACAGTTCAGTGGTTCAAACTGTTGGGTGTTCTACTTTTTCTGGACAATGACACTGATGATGTACAAAAGCTGTTATCTACCCTTTGAGACGCACCCAGCACAACATGTAATAAAGATCCACACTGTGTTTACAAGATGGCCCACATCCAAGAATGGAAAAGTTCTTAATCCCCGACTATCTGTCAGCAGCACCTATCAACAACTGGGAGTTGCCAGAGAGAAGCAGAATCAACGTTTTCCCTTGTTTTGTCCTGGAATAGCCGGCTGGGAAATTGACTATTACAGTCTATTAAAGCATTCTTCTGCTCACCCAGGGTTGGTGTGACAATGGTGCCATTTGAGCGTGTAAATGTAAGAGTCATGAGAGCACCCTGTCAAGGCAAACAGGATGTCAACAGGCCCTGTAAATGGCTCCTTTTGTTATGCGGAGGAAGAAGAGAAATAGGGAGGGGGGGTAGGTCTGATGCCATGTCCTAGATTACTTTCAATGCCACTTCCTTCCTGTTGTGCTCGAATTACCACCCTCCCTTTGCTCTCCCTCCCCCTCTTGCCTATTCTCCTGTTTCAACGCTGCTCTTTGTACTGCAATTACACAAGCCCCAGGACAACAGATAGGCCAGAACGTCTCCCATTGAAGTCAAATCATTTTGTACACAGTGCATTTTAGCCATTGCGCCATCAGAGGCACATTCGCGCTTCAACACAGTGGATTTAATCTGCGTGTTCCTGCCTGATAAAGTCACAGTTGAGGACACCTCATCTAATCTCAATTGCCCAATATGAGCCTAAAAACCTCCAGAGAGTGATAAGACGTTCCACAGTGATAGGATTATGCTGCCTTACGATCAATTTCTACTTCCTCTGATGAGTTTATATCTATTTTGAATAATCAATTGTTCTTCTTTTGCTGTTTTTTCCATGTTGTTTATCAAATGTGAGAATTGTCTTTTTCCCTCCAATCTCTATGGCTGGTTAAGTTTGGCTGTTCTTTGTCTTGAAATTAGGGATGGGTTGGTTACTGACAACAAGCTTTTCCAAGGTTTTAAAATGTAAACATTATGTTGAGTTTAAAGGCCTGTTTGGATACCATTTTTGATGCAAGTTTTTGCAATAATACTATAAAATGCTGGTGTGTTTTTACTCATACCACCTCAACCCATCCCTTGTTAAAATGATGACTCTTTTAGCCTACAGTCCTAAGAGTTGTTCAAACAAGTGTCCTGAGAGACCGATGTGATTAGTCAATCTGATCAACCTCCGCCACTTTTCACACACTTTTGGACATCAATAAATGCCTTTTTTGCCATTGAAAAACAACTCCTTGTTGTATCAACAGGATTCAAATAATCTTTCCTGTTTATTCAAATACTTTTGCTTATTGACAAAAGTTAGCTAGTAAATTAGGTAAATGATGTATGAGTTGTTTATTTCACCATCTGGCAACAGATTACTCTGCAACCTTGCCAACATGTTCTTTGGGAGAACCTCTGGTAAAACTGAGTGGCTTTTTTCTTTTCTGTCCCCCTAAAAAGAGTATATAGGCTACAAGGGGACTTGCACTAATTACGTAGATTTTAATGTGTTTAAAAAATGTTATAAAATTTTGGGCTTCAAGAAACAATATAACTGCATGTTGGGGGAAAAAAGAGTACTGTTGAGTGCACATTGTACAAAAACGAGTTTGCCTATCAAATATAGGCTTGTAAATATACAAGCCTGAAATAGCACCTCAATGCAAAAAATGTTGCAGGAGGTGAGGTCCCCGATGCTAATGTCAGCACCCAGTTCACATTTTTGATTTTTTTTTTCCCCCAAAGAAGTTACTTGAATATAAGGGATTCCTGAAACACTTGAAAGCTAAATGGAAAAAAATTACTTTACACTAATATGTTTTTTTTTAAAACCTAACTGACAGTCTGAAAAGAATACATATCTTTGTTGTTGAGCTCTTATTAGTAGCAAAAATATGTTTTTTGACTTGAAAAATGTTGATTATTTTTTCAGTGTGCAGTTTTCCATTCAAGTCGATTAATTGGGATTTATTACATACCCTGCAATATATACTCGATTGAAGTTGTTTAACCGAGCCCCACCACCGGTATGTAAACAACCTGACAAGCCAGATGTCCGCCGGGATTAACCTACCGATAAAGCTGATGGCCTCCGGGAAGAACTGCGAGAGGTTCTGGCTCCAGTGATCGGAGATGGGGATCTGCTTGTACTTAAACTCCCCCGCGTTCTCGAACAGATTGGGCAGGTTGGGCGTCACGTTGAGGATGTACTTGATGCCGTACTCCTCCAGCACGTCCAGGTTCGTGGAGTCTTTGGCGCAGCCCAAGTAGAGGTGCGGCAGGATCTCCACGGGGAAGGAGGGCTGCGGGTTGGACAGCGGGCTGCCGTCCGAGTCCGTGGCGCTGCTAGGGTCGATGTCCGACTCAATGTCGGAGGAGTCCGAGCTGATGCGCAGGCCTCCGAGGCCCAGCACCTGAGCCGTGGTGGGAGAGCTGCTGCTGCTGTTAGAGGAGCCGTCCAGGTTGGTTTCGCACAGGGCTGGAAACTCTGCCTGGAATTTGCTGAAGCCGCCTGGAGAAAAGCAGTCGCAATGAACACCAGCTTCAGCTATTCATATTTGCATGTTTTGCACGCTTGCAAAAATGCAAAAACATGCACAAAAATTTCTATGCATTGAAAAACTTAGAGTTTCCCGGTGTTTACACAAACAAATCAGCACAGCTGGGTGTGGATGAGTGTGGAAATGTGAATGAAGCTGAACTCACCCTCCAGGTAGAAAGCCTTGTACCCCTCGTCCTTCATCTTCCTCAGCAGCAGCCCCAACACCGACCCCCCGTCCACGTTCTCGTTCCACTCCCTGCTGTACTCGTCGTACAGCACGATGGTGTCCGTCTTGCAGCGGCGCACGAAGCTCTCGCGGTCCTCCCCGTCGGAGAGCAGCGAGCGCACGGGCAGGTTGCCCTTCTTGAGCCGGCGCAGCATCAGGCTCGGGATGGCCACGTTGATCGCCGTCTCGACGTGCGACGACTCGTACAGCTCCTGGGCCCGGCAGTCCATCACCAGCAGGCCGTCCCTGCGCGTCTCCAGCTGCTCCCGGAGCCAGCCCACCGTCTTGCTGATCGCCATTACCGAGTCGAGCTGGACGACGGGTTTCAGCTTGTCGAGCATTTATAAGCAGGAGTGCGAAACGCGGTTTTGAAGGGGGGAATAAGAGGGAAGTTTAGTGGTAAAAAGAAGATTTTTTTTTTGTCCAAACCGCTGTTCAATAGAATAAATGAATGTGATGTAAAAAGGAAAAAAAGTTTAAAAGAATAATAATATTCTCTCAACGCAGATGTCCCTGCTTGACCTGCGTGCCTCTTGCGGAAAACGATCAGTTCGTCTTTCCTGACTGCGGGTTGTCTTCAGTGGCGCTCATTCATGCATCAGCCTGGAGAGCCCGAGTTATTTCTCAATGAGTCACAGCGGCCCTGCAGCGAGCCCGACGCTTCCTCTGCGCTTATATAACTCCACCGTCCGCGGCGCAGCAGCTTCCCCACTACCGTCTTTCTTTGCTGAGATCCAGTCTAAACTGCGGTTGATGTGGAGGTGCTGTGAGCATACGGTCAGCTCCAAGTGGCTTGGCGGATGCGGCTCTTTTCCCTTCCTTCCTTTCTCCTCTGCTGCTGCCTCAACTCGTTGTGAATAGACGCTGCTCTCACTCCGGGGCTGGCTGAGCTCTCTCTGCGGCGCTCGGCTGCTGAATGGCTACACACACCGAGCGTCCTCATTGGATACGCTGCGCCGGCCGACCAATCGGAGGAGGCTCAGCAGCGGTCGCCTTGGAAACGGGGGCCGGATGGAGCGGCCCGGTGTTGATGAATTGTTAATGAGTTTGTCATTCACAAAAACGGAGAGGAATTTCGGCTCCGGATGGAGCGAGTACAAACAAACAGCAGAACTGCAGGGAGGAAGGAGGGGAAACAGGAGGGGGAGGGAGGGAGGGAGGCCCGAGTCTGGACCGAGAGGAGGAAGAAAGACTACAGAATAGTGCGGTCACTATAGTGGTAATGCAGGGCTACAGCCTTACCCCGACGAATAAGATTTTTTTTTCAGAGTTAACCAGACCGGTACTAAATAAATAAATAAATAAACAAATAAATAAACTTTTATTTTTTTTATTTTTATTTTTTTTACAATTTTCACTTTCTGTTTCATTGCAGCCATTTGCTAAAAATAAAAACAGTTCATATTATTTCTTGTGCATGTACACTATCTTGACAGAAAAAAACCCCCACAAATGTAGAAATTTTTGCAAATTTATTTTAAAAGAGAAACTGAAATATCACACACCTCAAATTGCTATAGCCATACAGATTGCAGCTTTATGTTGCTGTTGTGTGCCGTTTCTGTTGCCTGTCTGGGACATGGACAGGTTTAAAAACAAAACATTAATCTGATTATCAAACAGTGAGACCAGCTCTGTAAAACCTTGACTTGGGGCAGATTGTTTGCTCATAATGGTGGAGTTTCAGAAAGAGCAGAAGTTTCTTCAAGAGACAGAGGCCTAATGTTGTTTAAGTCATATTTGATATACAACAAAGGAAGTTAACTTAAAACATATACTTGATTAGTGTCAAATAACTATGTTAACTTGGGAAATACATATACTGCCCCTTTAAGGAAATCTGTCCAACAGCTGAGCTGTGAGTCAAATAGTACAATTATCTCACAAACAGCAGAAAATTCCCAAAAGAGTGGCTGAAAAAGAATGAAGATGCACTGAAATGCCGTAGTGGACTTCCGACCTGTTCAAAAATGAACAGCCCAAATCTCAATGAACTGAAACAATGTTAGAAAGAGTTGGCAAAAAATTACCATGACAATATGAGAGACTGACAAATCCATATACACAAACCCCAAAAAGAACAATTCAAGTAAGTGGCATGCTGCCAAACGTGTCTACATGTGACACAATCAATAGGTACTTACTCCCCCTCCCATTTTACATACATATTTCCATTTTAGCTTTGAATGGCAATGTGTGAGTGTGGAAAGTGAAGCAAACAAACAGTATAGGAACTAAATAAAGAATGAAGAAACGCAATCACCTGGACTTAGGTTTTTTAGTGACAACTACAAAAAAAAAAAAAAAAAAAGTGGGACAAAATATGAACTAAGAGGCCAATTCTAAATGTTAAAAGTCTAAAACCAGCTCTGCCATATCCAGACACATTCAACGGTTTCTGAACTGAGGTGTGACTCCCGGCTGGAGGCTTAGCCTTTCGTTAGCATATGAAGTGTGCAGCCCCTCCAGAGTTAACATTGGCCTCTGGCCCCCCTCTCGTTGCCCCCTCCACCTTCATCTCCTCAGGCATGACAGAAGTCGTTCTGAATGAAACCAAGCTGCTTCTATTCACCTTCAAATGAATTCTGGTCTCTCTCAGCCCCCATGGCTCCCGCTCACTCTCTGCTTTTCACTCTCATCTCTACCTTCTCCCTCCTCTCTGCTGCTCACCCTATTCTTCTACGTCTGCCCGTCTTGTTTTGCCCTCTGCCCCCTCGTTCTCGTCCTCTTTCATCTTTTGTTTCTCATCCCCACACCCTCACCACCCCCTGTCCTCTGAGCCTCTGCTGAGAAATCTGGTGCCTGAAAATTCACCATGGAAGTCTGATGCTGTCCAAATACAACACCTGCCATGTTGCATAGATCACTAGCTGCGTTTACCTTGAGCCATAAAATTGCACAAATTGAAAAATGTCAATTTTGAAAAATCTAGTTTTTTGCACTAGGTTGAGGTGCATTTTTTATAATAATAGATAATAGATATATTTCACAAAAATTGCAACGGAAACACTTGTTTTGCATCACGTGAGTCACGTGATCAACAGCCGGATGTTACTACTGGTGAAAACGACAAAGAAGACGACAGAAAGTAGTTGGAGGATGATGGATTGTTTTTATGGGGGGAGGGGGGTATGGCTCCACCAGAGCTCCCACAGCATCACACAGTTCATAAAAAGTTGTGTTTCATTCCAACATGTTGAATCCATTGCTCTTCTGTAAAGTTGTTGACTACAATTTCCCCAAAACTCTGCATACAAAAATGCACCGGTCTGCCTCAGAACTCTTGGTGCTGACCGTGAAGAAACTTGTTCCCATCAGGGGATGTTTTGAATCTGCTATGACAACTGATGACTTTTTTCTATAGGGAAGTCTGGTTATGTGGCTCTGAGAAACATTCCCCATCAGCATGAGGTTAATCAGAGTTATTGTGGATAATATCAGGGGCCATAATTTAATATATTCCATGAGAATAATTGGAAACAGAAGATAATAAAAACTCTTCCATTATCTGGTAGCAACTCATTTTTACCGTGTGCTTGTGATCATTGATACATTTTTTGGAAAAGGCAAAACAAAAAACACATGTCACGTTCCGACTATGTGCTGCCGCGATGGTGATAGTTAAAAAAAATCTTTGCTCAGCGGTTTTAACAAAGCACATCTATTTTCACCGTGTACTTTTTGGCACATTGTTCTGCTTCCCGTGAACTCCCGATGTCTCTCACCCCGCGCCGCCCCCACCCCTCGTCACAGCACCAGCTGTGAAACAACTTGTCCAGAACAAAATCTCAAGCTGTGAAACGAATGTGTGAAGAGCAACTGAAAGAGTTCAAACCAAACATTTCCACCAATGTTACCTAAACATTTCCTAATGTAAAGATCAGTTGGTTTTACAAGAAGGTTGTGTGAAAAATTGGTGGGTAACTCGATTGGTTCTCATACCTTTGTGTTGTACTCTAAACTGAATTTATGATGTGAGGTCATACATTTAAAGGAATTCCTTTAGACTTTTTGCCACACAACACAGAGCAGTGCATCACTAACTGCATTTCCATTATGAATGTGCGCAAAACTTTGTCAATATTCCACTCAATAATATCAACTAAAAGAATCGGGGGAAAAAAAATTCTCAATTGCTTTGTTTCCATTATTTAAGACTCGTAATTCACTCATGAATAAGTTTAATAAGTATGCCGCACCATACTCCTCCTAACACTCTCGTCTTCTTTGTCTTTTAATGCTATTTTTTAAATTTCGTTGTACTTTCTTGCACATTGACACTAAAGGAATTCTGGTTCTGAATTACTTTATGTTTGCATTGCTTTAATTCCACAGTCAGACTGTTCCATATCCACACCACATCCGGAATTGCAAAAACTTCTTCATGTGGCTCTATTCTTACAAGCTTTGAATTTGCATTTCCCTCTGAGATTAACAGAATCAACAGATTCTTCATACAGCTTTCCTTCCAGTTCCTAATTATGCACCACTTTGTGTTGGTTCATCATAGAAAATCCCTGAGGGATGTGGTCAAAGTATGACAAAAGTTGAAGTTAACAAATCTCTGCTGTTTTCATATGTTGTAGCCTCATATGAAGACCGTCTCTCCTTTAGTCCATCTTTTTCCATCACTGATCTGCCCCACACTTTACCCACAAAGAGCCCTTTGACCCCCCCCACCCTCTCTTGTCCTTGCTTCCTTGCTACCAGCTGCTCATTTCAGATGGGAAAAGCCTTTGTCCTCAAACAAAGACTCCCAAACATGCACTAATCATGGTCTGGAGCGAGGCCTTCCAGTGGAAGTGTGTGCGTGTGTGTGTCTGTGTCATGATGCACATGACACACACTCAGGAAGTGGATGTGGCTTCTCATGGTGTTCCTCGTCTGAGACAGACAGAGGCGGACAATAAGAGAGCGTCTGGATACGTGAACAGGTTTCAAAACACTAAAAGTCAGACACACGATGCACAGGAAGTCTGTGTTTGCACTTGAAAGAGGAACTAGGTATTAAATGTACTTGCAAGTCAAAAGAAGAAGGACAAGCGATGGCGCAACACCCGCGCTAAAGGCGCCAGGCAGAACCTGAGCCGGCTTTTTGGAAAAGTCACTTGGATCTGCAGGAACAATAAGCACACTCATAGACCGAAACACCGAATCAGAGTAATGAGAACACGACTGACCACTGCTTCAAGCTAATGACAGTTCAAGCTTTGAGTTTCCTTTTTACATCTTAAACATCCTCACACCACTTTTGTATAAAAAGTACAGACGTGATGTAGTTTAAGACCTGGAATGTATTCACAAGCTGTCCTAACCCTAACAACCACCTGGCTGCCATGCTTTCTTCCTAATCCTATAGAAGAAGGTTTGGACTCACATGTGGCACCAGATCTTAGGATGACAAACGCTTTGCTGTCAAGCTGATATCAAATCAGACTAGGAGACTTGAATTAGGCTGTACTTCTGAATTAAAATGATTCTACATGGAAAGGGAAACTAAAATCCCTTCACCGTGATGTAAAGAGACTCTCTGTCGGTGGCAGCTGCTTCTGCTGAGGCCGCGACAAACAGTTATTAGTTTGAGGAGGTGATTACTTTTTCACATCGGCCCAGCAGCTTTGGATAGCTTCTACATGATGTAAATAAATTCATAATGTCCAAACTTCTTTGTGTTTGCTCAGATTAGCTTTGTTTTGAAATCTTAATTATTAGTTTGATTTAAAAGAAAATAGAAAAATAAAAATCCCAAACACAACCATCAGGGGCAAACACTTTTTTATGCCACTGTATGCTTATGTAATGAATTCATTCATCATAATCATTTACAGGAATACATCATATTTGTATAAATACTTACAATATTGCAGTATTGTAAGTATACATCAGAATCGAATTACCTAAAGAAGTACGTACCATGATCTCAGTTTTAAAGGGACAGCATGCGTTTTTATAGCATAACCAAGTCACTATGTTACCTTCAATTGTTATGAAAATGCTGCATACCTCAAATATGACTTTAAAGAAATTTGACTTCATAATTTAGTGCCTTGAAATTGGGCCTTTGTCTC